CATCGTCATCTACTTCATTTTTCACAAAGCCATCAGTATCGATTAACTTCCTAATTACATTTAACTGTTTAAAATGGGAAATATATAAGTTTAAACTACTTAATATATTTCACATTTTCAATCGCCGAACCTGAATAAAACACTTTTAACGGTTTTAAACTTTATATATATTAGTTAACTTATTTTAATTTCAACGTCGTCATCGTCAACGATCCGTAACTGAGGGACTGAGGATGGAGGATGTCCCTGATACCAAAAAAAATTAACTAACATATTTCTAGTTTTAAACAGTTGAAAGGGTTTTATTTAAATGTACACTCTTGTGAACTACAGAAAATAGTTAACTACCGTTAACCGTTTTATTAAACAACTTTTTTTATTTATATTTCTTCCAACACATAACAATGATGAATTACACAATTTCCCTAGTCACGCTTTGCATCTCTCAATAGCCAGACAAAAAGCTCGAGAAACTGACTCATACAAGTTCATAGCTCCTCACAACGAGGAAAAACATCATTTGTAGTAAGAAAAACTTGAAAGCGTTTCCCCTAGCTTTTAGTCTAGTTCTTGTCTGCGGCTGCTAGAGTGCCCGCAACACTTATAATATTCACGCTTGCGCAGAAAACGTGTAGTGCATTTAGTATTCTCGATTATTCTATGTCTGTTTCAAAAGTACGTCTAAAATACCTTTTAAATCTAGAATTTAACATATGTAGTTTGTTAATAGCCCGTGGTATAGACAGGCGTAAAGCCCGTGTGGACGGGCATAGTAGTAAAAAAAAAATTATACAAATTTTAAACTTTGTATGTTTGATACCATCGAAACAAATGAGACAATAATTTCAAACAGACATACACTTTGAGTTATATAAATTTACTGTCTAATTAATTTAGTTATTTTAATAAAGTTATGAACTGCCGCCACGGCTATGAAGAACAATCGACATACACTTTATATTAAATAATTTATTATTTTAATATGTTTTAAACATCAGGCCGTAGTCAAAAATTAATACAAGTTAAATAATACATTTCGCGTTTTAAACCGTTAAAAGTGTTTTTTTCTATTGTTTAACTCTCAACAGTCACAGTTTTAAATTGTTCATAACAGAGTTCATCAAGCTGTTTAGCCTAAATGCTTTCGTTAAGTGGGTCCAAGGAATCACAATTAGTGTTAACTATTCGCAGATAAATCTTTATCTAGAACGGGGGGGGGGGGGGGGGGGGAAGGGGAGGAAAAAAAAAAAAGGGGGGGGGGGGGGGGGGGGGGGGGGGGGGGGGAGGGGGGGGGGGGGGGGGGGGGGGGGGGGGGGGGGGGGGGGGGGGGGCGAGAGGGGGAGGGGGGGTTTTGTGTGAGGGGAAAAGGAAAGGGGAAACCCCCCCAAAAAAAAAAGGGGGAGGAAAAGGGAAAAGAAAACCGGCGGAGGGGGGGGGGGGGGGGAAAAACCACCCCGGAAGGGGGGGGGCGCCCGGCCCCGGGGGGGGGGGGGGGAAAGGGGGGGGGGGGGGGGGGGCGGCGGGGCCCCCCCACCCACCAACCGGAGCCCCAAAGGGGCCGTGGGCCCCAGTTTAAGACCCTGATAAAAAGTCTCTTTTGATAAATAGAACTGCTACACACCGATAGATTTATAGTTTAACGTTATTTGAAGTCTGAATCAATCCTGGAATTGTTTTAAATTGTTTGAAATAAATTAAAGGATTATTTATAAAAAAGATTCACAATAATTTTATTATTTTTTAAAGGCCATTGTATAAATTTTAAGTTTTAGTTTAGATTGAAAAAAAATTGACTACACGCGGGACTTGCGTTCCTTTAACCAATCGATCTACTGTGTCTTAGTACTTAGTTAGAGCAGCATCATGCAACAATCACAAACATCAATTTGTATACTAATTATAAATAATACAAGCAAGTCATTTTTTAAGTAGTGCTTACTTGTATAATTAATAAAAATATATTCTTACGTAAATATAAACGTCCTGAGACAAAAACTATATTACCCACGAAAATAAAGCTTAATAAGGCATATATGTTTATAATATAATATGAGTTTGAATTACCGTATAGTCACAAGTGAAAACACAAAAGTCAAATCTTTTTAATAATAATCTTAGTTGAAATCGGAACAAAACGGAACTAACACGAACCTAAAAAACTGGTTATGATAGACAAACGCAAATAAGTTATATAAGCTATTTACTAGTTATGACACAACACTTGCATAACGTCGACGATGACGAGCGAATGGTCAAGATGCAAAGTGTTTATATCTGCGCGGGAGTGGGTCAAAACTCAGCACGATCTTTTTGTAATCATCAACAGCGTGTGCGCATTTTATCTACGGTTTAAAGGTATTTTGAACTGCGATTATTTATTAATTAAAAATAGTCCAAAGCAGAAACTAATTACTACTAAAATATATAGAACAATTACAACTTAACACGTAGGTAAGAGTTGTAAATAAATTAATTCGTGCGAATCTCTTTCTGTCAATGTTAAAAACATAAAAAAATATAATTTCTATTCCCTAATATAATTAACACTTTAAACGGTTTAAAAGGATTACTAATGCTTTTCAGCAAAAATTTATAAGTTAAGCCGTTGAAAGTGTATTATTGAAATACCTATTATCTTCGTACTTTCCTTATTTCCCTTGTATCATAAAATGCAATTTTAATCCGAAGGATTCCAAATATTTTTATTGTTTATTTATTTATACAACTAAGTTTTAAATTTATGCATCTATCTCTGTTTTGACCCGATAGTATTTGATAGAAATGATATATTTGTATGAAGTCAACAGAAGCGGCACAATACTAACTTGATAAGGATTGTAGGACCCAAGGTCAACAAACGCTTTTATCATTCAATTGAACGAAACGTTTTACATCGGGTTTTATTGAAATATGTCTTTTTAAAGAGTAAAAGGGAATAATGTGGTTACTTGCTTATTTACAACTATGATAACAACGGTGTCTTACACATCAATCTATATATAATGCTGTGTCAACGACTTCGTCCGCATAGAATATTAACTTGGGCATCAAAATTTGTTTTTGCAAACCTCTTGTTTAACTCTATAAATCTTCTGTAAAACGACATCGTCTGCGTCCCGTCGTTCTTACAAGTTAGTCTTAAAAGAGTGTGGCGCACATTTTTTTTGATAATTTAAAGAGGAATCATTCTTTTATACATATTTTTTACCATAAAAAAATATTATTATTATTATAGAGTATAGAGTTCGCAGCGTACGCCTCGGAAACTCAAAAAGATGAATGATTTTCAAACCGTTTCTTCCATATTTCCCTATGTTACTTCACTGCTTATTAGCCTATAACCTTCCTCGATAAATGCTCTAACCAGCAAAAAAAGATGTTTACAATTCGAATTCTGAATTTTCGGTTAAACAAAAACTCTTCAGCTTTATATATTAGTATAGATATAGATAATAAGCCAAGACTTGCTATAACTTCTTTTTCCTTATTAGACTCAACGGTGCGTCAAATTTCCTAAATATGTTAATTTTTATACTAATTATTTCTTAAAAATAGTAAATGCAGCACTTAAGTTACAAAACACAGCAACATTTTTTTTAAACATGACTTATATATTGATCAAATTACACCATTAAAGGCTATTAAATAAAATACGATTAACGGTTTAAAACGCAACATACATTGCATATTTTATCCAATGTCTCATGCAAAAGCAGTCATGTTTAAACATGTATAATTATTATCTTTTGATTTCGTGGTAAAAACTAAAACTAATGACGTTACGCGTTACGTCACGGAAAGTTTTTGAAACACATTTTCCCTCCCATTTTCAAATCCCTCAACAAACGTTTGTTTTTATTTTAAAGTGGATTAGAAGCTATTTCTTTAAATAATTAACTACTAAAAAGGTAGGACTCGGTAGCCCCTGATGCCGGAGTTGCCCGAGTTGAAAATTTTTTCAATTTTTAAATTACTAACAACACACCTAATAGCGTTTTATTAAACATATATATTTAAAGCTATTTTTTAAATACGTAATTTTAAAGTTGCTTAACAGCGGTGTACAAGTATATTCTTAGCTATAACTTATCTAGTAAACCGGTTTGTAATAAATTATTTACAGTTATATATATAGATACAGAATCCTCAAAGCAAATTGCATAACCTTCTTTAACTATGTGTTCATAAAAAACGATAAAAATAATAGCTATTTTATGGCGCTTTGAGAATTAAATTCACACTCATTCAACTCGAGAATTGTTTATCAGACTTGATAAATGTTCTTCACAATGCTACTTTGTTCAATTGATCATGTCATACAATGTATGACGGTATAGGTCATTGACCTTTTCTGTAAATCCATTAACAAAATGGCTGCACAGTTGAAAATTTGGTGTTGATTAGTTAACGAGATTTAGTAAATACTTGACTTTTTATTCCACTATTTCTAAGAAATCAAAACAAATATAACAGATACTGTCTGTAGTTTACGCTCGTACATATGAAATATAACATTTTAACGGTTTAAAACGCAAATTATTTTACGGCCTGACGTTTTAGATGCTTTGCAGCAGCCGCTATCACGGAGAGAAATGGGGGGGGGGGGACATTTCTGACACGTCGGGCCAAAGTTTAAATAATGTTAAAATAAGTTAAAGTAATATACATATATCACGTTTTAAATCGTTAAAGTGTATTTTTTAAATTAAAAAAAAAAAAAATGCCCCTTTCGCGATCAGAATGAATACTGAAGTCTAAGAGGAATAGTTAATTCTTTAAAATTTAAAAGAGTGAACAAAACATGAATGTGTTTTGGGCAAAAACATCAATTAACGTGCATTGTGCGACAAAGCGCTAGCTAATTCAAATGACTCATGACCTAGATATCTAGGTTAATACATTCCACGGAACTGTGTTGATGGTACCCTACTGTCGCGATAGTAACACGCCGTTCTTTCTTTACAGACAAAATGTAGATTAGGTCCCCCACTAATACTACGATGTCTGTTGACCAGGCGTCACCGCTGGTGCCTATTAAGCCTCAAATAGCGCTGCAGAACAGCGCGTTCATAAAAAACAGCCACAATAGAGCCAGCTTCTGCGGCGCCACCCCCTCCCCCACAAATGGGAATAGAACGTTCAAAACGTTCGCCGTAAACCGGAAGAGCTGGAGTGGCAACGTCACGTTACCCCTTCAGCAGTTCCTGGAAGAGCCACCTCAGCTGGCATCGTTTCGTTCAGGAACGGGAACCTTTCCCAGAAATCGGGAGAGGAACAATAACACCACTAGCGGAATATTAACGCCTAACGGTAACGTGCAGACGCTCAAAGGAAATGAAGTGAGGAGGAGCGGATGTGCTAACGGCCGAAGGTACGCTGAGATCGGAAACTGGAATAAAAGGTGAGTTCGCGACGTCATAAATTATCCGTGTTTAATGGGATACGTTTAATGGAACTTAAGGCGGTAATCCTATTGCATATAAATAAATCTATTGATAGATTTACGTGCTTTCATTTGATGTCGATTATAAAGGTTTACATTCGCTCTATTTTCAAGTTTGTAGACTATACTAATTAAGAATATTTATTAACTTTTATCGTCAATTAATTCTTCGATTTCCGAACTTTAAATATTTAAGAATGTTAATTCGTGATTTAATAATAAATGTATACAACTAGAACAATAATACTAAGGAATACCTCAGGAGGAATTTCGATGTAGTTTCTATCTATTTGCTTAACACCGAGGTGTTATATTAAGATAATACCATTTAAACGGTTTACTATTATAAATTCAATTTAATTTATAGCTCAGCGCCTGTATTTTACTTAAAATTAAACCATTTAAACGGTTTATCGATTATACATTAAAAAATTTTTCGACTCGGGCAGGACTTGAACCGGCATCGTCAGCTTTCTACGTTAGGACTTAATACCAATTGGTAGAGCAACACCAATCCAAGCTATTTTCATTTCAATCCTACATTAATACATTTTGCGTTTACTCAACAGTACCCATTATGAAAAAGATCACAAAATCAAGAAAACAAAGAAAAGTGTATTGAAATTTAATGCTGAACATTCACAGGTATAATGCTATTATGCAAGTTTTATTTTTTTGTATTTAAGCCATATTAAAAAAAGTTATGTTGAAACATGTTTCTAACAATGTAGAAATCAAACGTATTCCTTTTCAGGCTACGTCGCAGTTAAGGTATTGAACCAGACGAGCTTATAATTAAATAGGACAATCCTTTGTTAGCCGCGTTTCATCTACATAATATATAAAACAGTTGTTAGCTATTTACTTAAATAATTATATACTGCCTGTATTGGGTTTATGCGAGTAAGATACACTTTAATAAAACAATGATAACGGTTTAAAACGCCAAATATATTAGTTAATTTATTTACAAATTATTATAAATTCAGCCAGACGTTACGGTAATTTTATGAGCAGCGGTGGTCAAGGGGTGGCGACGGCCGTGGGTAAAATAATTTATAAGTTTAATACATTTCGCGTTTTAAACTGTTAATCAGGTTTGGATTTCTTTTCCTTATTAATGTTGTCTTGGAAGCAGTGGTATTTTACTAAGTTAATCAGAACAAACGAAAAATACAATAAATTTATCCACAGGTAAACAAGTAGCTAAACGGAACACGTAACTCTCAACTTTTCCTAGGCTTATTTATTTTCTTTTTCATCTCAAGTAATTTTGTAACAAGTTTTCCAATTTCATTCTCTCGTCGCTTTCATTTCCTCCCCGCTTGGCTCCCCTTAATATTACTTTTATTAGCTGAACGCTTAACAAACATTGGTTTCTGAAACTAATAGAAATTAAATTTCATTTCAAAGATGCATTGTCTGCTGATGTAGTAATGTTCTTTGTTGCTTTTTTCTTTTTGATATCTTCCTTATATCATACTTCTTAAATTGTTTTTTATTTCGACTATATATGACCAATACAAATGAGATTCAGTAGTTTATAGTCTATCTCATTTTGTCAACTACCGTCGTCTAATTTGAATCTTCGGCAAAGGATCAATTGTTTCGGTCGAAAAAGATCAGAAGACTAAAGAGAGACTAGTGTGATAAAATCCATTAAGGAACCGGACACAGAAATATGTCCGTCACTAAGATCCATAGGTGTCTACAATGGACTGCAATAAGCACTCACTATCTCGACTGAAAATCGAAAATTAAACTCAATTCAAAACTGAACTAATTGGACTTATTTGGAAAGCACTAGCAAAACTTGATTTGTTCATTGTCTTACATAACGTTATTGGTAAACATTGGGTCCGCTCCAATGTTAACAGGATTTATCTAATCGGGCTTCTCATTATCTTTATTCGCGTTGGATAGAAAGTTCGTCCATAATTCTTCTACTCAATTTGGGGCAGGCTTGTTGATAAGGCGTTCTAATAATCTGCCTCTTAGTACTTCGGGTTTTATTGTGGTTTGAGTTTATCGCGTCGTCATGAAACGTCACTATGGGTTTTATCGCCCTGTTTAGTTCCCCCTTCATGGTCATATACAATGTATGTCTTGTTTATTTTTTTGTTACAACATATATCATTCAGTACTTGAATTCAAGGTTATGTGAATCTTAATAAACCATTGTTTCGCGCGATGGTTTGTGTGTCTATTGCTCAGTCTTGTTTGTGTATTTTGCTATTCTAGGTTTATTACTCATAAAGAGTATATATTTTACGTTAAATAGTAATGTAGGTATTACTGTTGTATAGGTGGTGTTAAGGTTGAAAGGTCCTGGATTTGAAATCCTTAAAAAGCTAAAAATGGTATCGTTCAGGCAGAGCACATAAGTGTGTTCTATTGGCCTGTCAATATCTCGCAACGATAAGAAGGAAGAGTGTGTCCAAGTAAGGAAGGGCTTTAGTAGGTAGTTTATGTGAGTAGTAGGGGTTAGATAAAACGGTTTAAAACGCGAATTATGTAACTTATCATTAACCACGTTCGACGTTACGAATGTTTCTAAGTAGTCGTGGTCGAGGATATTAGTGAGTTATATACTTACTGTCTATAGTTTACGCGAGTAGTACACATTTAAATAAAACACTTTAACGGTTTAAAATGCGATATTTTAGTTAAACTTATTAGGAAATGATTAATGATTGATTTAAATAAAACACTTTAACGGTTTAAAACGCGATATATTAGTTAAACTTATTTGAAAATGATTTTTAACTTCGGCCCGACGTTTGGATGCTTTGCAGCAGCCGTGGTCACGGGGGGTCACGAAGTTAAAAATCATTTTCAAATAAGTTTAACTAATATATCGCGTTTTAAACGTTAAGTTTTTATTTAAATGTTACTACTCGCGTAAACTATAGACAGTATTTGATTGAATGATTGATTAACCGTGGGCCGAAGTTAAAAATCATTTCCTAATAAGTTTAACTAATATATGGTTTTAAACCTTAAGTTTTATTAAATTAGGAGATTTTTTGTTATGTTTAAAAAAAGGGATTCGTACTTGTTTGTATTTTTTGCATTTGCACTTAGATTACAATTGATGTTAAATTGTTACGCCATTTTACATCCTTTAATAAGTTGTGTAGACACTGAAATGTAACCCAAACGTAAAGAGAAACTAGACTATGATACTTGACGCTTTTTTAGCATACTAACAATGACTAAGATCATATTGCCTAATCCAAAACTGTTATTGGTGAGGTAATCAACCATTGTTTCTTATGGTTTTATCTATTGTATTCGGTACACGCACACACTTCTCGTTACTATATAAACAGATAAATCTCCTTTCCGTAACAATGAAGGCTATCTGACTTCTCTACGCCGTTGAATCTGTTGTTTTGTGCAATTTCATTGTTTCTGCTATGCGTCTGTTAATGAGCATAATGCCGCTTACAGAGGAAGCTTTTTTAGTTTGTATATTGTTTTAAGAACATTCTAGATTTATCTTCTTGAAATTTATAATTATCTTTATTTGACAATGACGTCGTTCTTTTTTTACATCTACGGCTTCATTTTCTTCAGACATGTTTTCAAACCAAAAAGTTTATATATATATATAAAAAAAAAAATATATATATATATATATATATATATATCTTATGACGACCAATAATTTTGTTCTTACATAATATAACATGCTTAACAGAGACAAGTATTGATATAAGATAGGAGTATTAATTTAGTAATAAAAATATATTTTTTGACGGTAGAAATCATTAATCAATCGCTTTAAAATAAAGATTCTTTAAAAGTTCACTTTTAAAGCTGTATGTTTGTATAAGCTGTTATGTTTTGGAGAATTCACTAAAATGGCTCCGCTTTTGTAAAAGAAGCAATATTTTCACTGTTTCTAAATCTTCACCATAATATGAATAGAAATCTGACGCGTCTCAAGTTTGATTCCAGCATTTCATATCACGAAGCGATAAGCTATGATTATGGCGTGAATTACGAATGGATGAAAGCGAAAACGCATAATGTTCGGTTTCTCCAGATATGATTGAGGAGAAACTATAATTATATTTTTCTTGAAAGCTCACATCACCATCACACTATTCCATACAGCATGTAATAGTTACGTTTCCAACATACGAGTATTTGAACATATTATTTAAAAGAACAGATTTGAAATTACCCACAACAAATATCGATATACAAAATTAATTCATAGTACTATACAAAATTAATTCATATAAGTAACTATTTTTAGTACTTTTACTATGAAACACTAATTTATTGCCCCCCGTGGTTCAATGGCGAAGTACATTGCCTAAAATTGCGTTAAGCGCAGAGAGGGTTCGAAACATTTGATTGATTACTACTCTATGGCGCCGAAGTTTGATCTACTACTTGTCTGTCTATTATTATCTTATTTAAAATATATATCAGAAATCTTATACCTACTAAGGAACTACAGATTATAGATGAACGTCGAAATTGGAACGTAAAATAAGACAGTTACAAACGAAAAATAAACTTGCGATTTTCAACCACACAAAACAATTTAAACGAAAAATAATTCACTCACGTAAATTTTAACGTTGAAAGTGATGTTGTTTTGCACGGACGCTATTACATTTATCGGCGACATTCAACAGTGATTCAGCACAAGATTTATCTATTACAGAGTCGCGTTGCATTTTAACTGGAAACAAAATGAATCATTTTTAGTAAAACCGCAAAATTTTCGAGTTGTTAAGGGGAAAGCGATCCGCCAAACCACATTCAATTTTACAAATTTGTTTTCACTTCTATTCGCGCTGTGATGAAAGCCATCGCTGCAGTGGTATAACCAACAAATATTTGGTCCTTCGGGCCGGATATGAAAATTGTAACGAAATATTTTTTAACTTTGAGTCACGATTAATTTGGTTTGTAAGAGAGTTTTGCATCATGTTTATCTAA